AATAATATGCTACACAGTGGCAGTGGGGGTCGCAAAATGCCGATTTATTACTAATAAATCCCAATGATCTAATCGAAATTAGGGATTTCGATCGGATCATTGGGGGGGCACGTGCCACCCCACCCCCCGCACTGGCTCTGCCAGTGCTTCCGGTTGACACCATGTTGGTTGGCTGTGTGATCGTTGGCTGTGTGATCGTTGACCGTGTATTATTTAACCGAGCTCGTTGATTGTGCATTGATCAATTATGCTGATTGGCTGGGGGTTGCCTGCATGCTAATAGTGGATTAGCAAGTTTTTTATTGATCGATTCTTGTTTTCCACTGTTGCCTGTAGTAGTTGACTATAGGTTGGTTGACTATTGGTTGACTAATTCATAATCGATCTTTGTGTTAGGCCACATAAAATGATCGAGCCAAATTTGTGTCGTTAAGACCCTCCACCACCCATCATTCTGACGTAGTTTCAATTGAGACGTATCCAATTGCTACATCTGGCTTTAGGAATCGTTCTTGAACTCGCCGGTGGGCGAGCTGAAATGATCGTAATGTGCCGTGTTAAACCCTTGTTCACATGGCTACTTAATTTGTTTGGCTGTGTCAGGTGGTGGCGAGTCTTTGTGACACAAACCTTACCATGTCATTGTGTGGCCTACCACAAAAATCAGTTGTGAATCGTGATATTTGATGTGAGAACCTTCCTGTTGGCGACTACGTGAACTGACTGTTGCCGGTCGACCTCCGCGCGTCAGCAGATCCACCTGCGGCAGTTCCACGTGACACCCTACGCCGCCATCGACCCTACCATGATCGACCGCGAAGAGCTGCAGGTGATGGAGACCGAGCAGCCTGCGCCGGCCAAGGGAGATGACCCCACCGAGCCGGCCACGAGCCCTGATCCTGAACCTTGACCCCTGACTTCCTCGTACCACCTCCTCCACCTCCTAGTGTCCCCACCGGTGCCCGAGAGCCATGCAGTGGTGGCGAAGGTAAAACCTGGCTGGCAAACCCTCCTGCCCGCCTGCTCACGTTTGCCGACTGGAGGCTCCGAACCTTTTCGCTGCTTTCGGCCAAAGTGCTTGCGTTCCCAGCTCAGTTGGGTAGGGGCAGAGGCGTGGGCTGATCCCTCCGTCCATTCAGCCAACCAGATCCTGGTCGCCCAGCGCCTCGGCGCCACCGTGATCGGGACTGCCGGGGCTGTCGTGCGAGAAAATGCAATGTCATGGTATCGCTTCGAGGTGTCTTGCCACGCTGCCACAGCCTCCCTATGCGGTACTTTTTTGGCATGGCTACGGCCGTGTGTAGGGGAAACCTGGCCACCGGGTGAGAGGGTTGTCGCTGGGCTGGGAGCACGAGGCTGTGGGTAAACGCGTGCGACGGGGGGGGTAATCGGGCCAAGCCATACCGCCACTGCGACCCCCCCCCCCCCCAGTGCAACGCACGGTACAAATGCCCCCGTCGTGATGTTTTGGCACCATCTGCGACCACAGATTTTGCCGAAATTAGTGATCACGAACCGAGTTCTGGTGAGCGGTCCTGGTGCAGCGTTTCCGGGATGCCCTGTCTGCAATTATATTTCTTTTGTAATTTGCTGACTGTTAATTATACAATTGTTTTGTATGTAAAAAAACTGATTATAGAAACGAACTTTTTAGGTTTTCATGAACCAATGTTTTGTCGGTGGTTTTCCTGGTGGGGTTTGTTTTGAAGTCCTTGAACCCGTTTGCAAAGAATGGTAAAATTCCATCCCTGAATGCACCACGTGTGGCTCGGAGCAATAACCATTAAGCGTTCCATATATATTTTGTAAGGAAGGGCGTATTTGGTGTTTGTATAGAATTTCTGCACGGGAGTCGCCAAATCCCTGCATACGGTCTTATCATTTTCATTGCGCGCGGCGTTACGTGACTGCCCTTTGACTCATCGGCTAAGATCAATTCTTCACCTTGCGATGGTGACAGTAAGAGCGTAGATTATTTACAGTTCGGTGTGCATTGTACGCCGTTGCTCTGCACAGACCGCGCGGCTATTATAAGCGCGATGCGCGCCACATGGCTGCGGAGAATCTGTTCTCAAATCGCGATGCGTGTCCCGCGTCGCACGTGCAACGATCTGTTACCTTCTGCGATTCGGGCACGCCGTGTGAAATCTGTTAACGTGACCCCCCGCCAGCGACCTGCTGAGGCACAAACATTTGTTAGAAGATTAAGAATCAATTCTTGAATCGCAATCGCTGACACCGAATCATGATCATCTATACAACTCTAAGAACGGTGTGGGCACGTCATATACGGGGGGGGGGGGCGGGGTGGTGCAGGAGCTGGGACGCTTTATCAGTTAGCCAATTCGTCGATTCCAAATGGTAACCAACCACTTTAGTTGTGGTCCATCACCCGAGCCCCTTTAAAATTGGTGGCCGCCCCCAAAAATTCCCTACAAGCGACGCTGATGATGTCACCAAGCCAATGTGGGTGCAGGCGGGAAGCATTTTTATCCCCAGCTATTTTCGTGTTATCCAGGTTGGTCGAGTGATCGAACGTGAAGAATATGATGAGAAACCGGCTGTCGCTATACCGCCGTCTTAAAAGCTGCACTGGACTTGTAGTGATGGTTAGTTCGTATTAGGGACTTATTGCCCAGGATAAAGACTGCAAGAGGGTTAATTAAATGCAGCGACGTAGGTACTTCCGCTAAACCACTCTGGCTTCATCTGTGTAGTTGCTGCCAACCGAGACGTGTTGCGTCGCCAGCGCTAGCCTACGTCGCCGGGCTGGGTGCTGACCAGATTATTGACCAGGTCCGCGCCCAGCCACACATTCACCACAGCCACGCCTCTGTATTACCGCCGCTAGGGGCCTGGGTGAAGCAGGGCCCAGCCCGGCGACGTGGGCTAGTACTGGCGCCTCGATTGCTTGCACTCGCGCTGCCCTCGGTGTTGTCGGGTTGCCGGTTCGGCTGAGCAACGGCACGGGATTGTAGTTGGTACGGCGAGCGTTTTGTTAGGGTCAAAATGAGTGAAGCAAACATTTGTCGACTTAAGTGTTTTTCTGTTTAATCAACGATGACAGCGCGTGATGATGACTCGTCCTCCCGCGAGTAGCGTGACTAGAGACTGCAGTGCACTAGGAAGATCAAGCATGGCAATTGGCTATACATATAGTGTCTCACAAGACTTAACTAGTTCACGGATCTGATGACCTGACATTTATCGGGAGGGGCGGAATTGTCCCCTTCCCGACATTTAACTCAAGAGGGACTCGATGTGTGACTGCACCGCCACGATACCCACAGACCCGATACTTGACGAGATCTCTATGGGAGTCGTGGACCAGAGTGTGATTCACATACACGATGCTGACTACAACATCGCTCTGGCGGTGCGTGACGCACACCGGTGTTGCTGGGTGCCCATCGCTGCCCGAGCTCCGTCGTTCTCGCGTTCCCCTCGTTCCTGGTTTCCGACAACTGCGCAACACGGGCACAGTTCCGCGAGTGGCGTCCGATTCTTGGAGCTGCCGAAAATGTGAACGGATTTGTCTACTGGATTTTAAATGCTATTTTAAATTAAATTTGTTAATAAAGGCATATTGTGCACTTCCTGGTGATTACATTGGGGCTGGAGCTTGTGACTGCGTGTGTTATGCTTGCAAAGCGTGGACCCCCCCCCCCCCTAATGGAACATCTATGCCGGTTAGAAACATTCAGACTGGCCTGCCGACGATCCATCCTGGGTTTAACCAGGCTGAATTTTGTGAGCTCACAAATCCTTGAAAGATCTGGACACAGGCCCAACGGTGAGTTCTGGCAGGCAAGGCTGTGATGGCTGTAGCACGCATGCCCAAACAGTTTTTGTTTGGCTGGATAGAGGGGGCTAAATGGGCATGGCACAGGCTAGAGAAAAGCTGGAGTGATGTAGCACGAGAGGATGTGGAGCTGAGTGGACTTGCCAATGACTGGGACCAGCGGTGTCAAGATCGGCCTGTGGACGCTCGTGAAGGGCGCTGTGTGTGGGCATTTGGGAGGCAGTCGCCCTCCAGCAACAGAGGAGTGATGCTCACGAGTTGAGTCGGACAGTTAAAACACAGCAAGTTGGCACCATAGGGTGCACAGGTGGTGCATTGGCCAGTCATCTTAAGACGGTCAACGCATGGCACCTGGGTTTGTCTGGTGACCTGACACAAGCATCGTGGTGATGTCACCACCACTATTTGATCTTAGCTGATGTCAGCAGTAGCGATATCTGTCCAGCGGCTGGACGAAGTACCGCGTGACAAGCGGAACGACAGCTGCGGTGGTAGTAAGCAGTACCAACTGTAGAAAGTTATCGATGAAGGCCGACAAGAACCATAATCCGGCCCTGCCCCCTCCAAACTGGCAGCGGCGACTGCCCGTTGTCATGAAATTCCAATTCTCGACCTCATGGGATCGGGTCACTTCTCATTGGAGTTACGTTCTGATGGAGTGTCATTTACGTTTATCAAAGCAACTCTTCATCAATGAATTTATTAATGGATTGTGTCGGGATTAAGTGGTTTCCTGGTTGCTCACTGTGGGCATGTGAAGATTTGTGGTTCCTCATCACCACGTCACTCACTTCACCGTCCTAAATTCAGCACGAGACAAAATCGCCATGAATGTGCCCATTGCCGTCGGGTGCTCACAAGCTAAGCAGATTTGAGTCTGGATGCTGCTTGGATGGGCGACTGCTTTGCATGCCAGGTTGTAATGGGCTATGGAGCTGTTCTATTTGGTGGGCAGCAGAGGGCAGTGCAGCTAAAACCTATTTCTGTCCTGCGCTCCAAGATCGATGCATTCAGCAACTCGCACCAACTCGCGTGGTGAAGTATAGCTAAATAACCAACACGGTGTCGAGGCCCAAGGGGCTGTGTATTTGCTTCGCTGTATACGGCGGCCGTGTGAAATGCTCGCAAGCCACCAGCGCAGACCGACTGGCAACGACGGTCCTCGTGGGCGCTCCGGTCCGGAGAAACGAGGCCCGTGTTGCGATCGGAACTCAGTCGTTTATTTAACAAAAATGATGATCATTCCCCAATGCACATCTTGCCTATCTCCACTACTGCCTGCGGCCGTCTGGTATTCCATTCCCCTCTGACCCTCCATCCTTACATGCGGTAGACTCCTTGCCCCTAATCAAGTTCAGGCTTATCCTTCTCCTCTGCCTATGGCTGGCTCTCAAGAGCCCCATATACCCACATAGACCATAGACTCACAGAGATTCATAGACTGACCATATATCCACACTCTCACGATGAGTCATTGACTTGCATAGAGGCCATATATCCTCACAGGGACCCCATACACACACGGAGAACCATAGACTCACCTCCAATTATCACGGTTGGCTTTGCATGGTGTGAAAAAAGTGTAACATACAGACCTATATCCACAGACAGATCCCCGTATAGCCTTAAACTATTAGGGCAAGTGCTGTTAGCGAGCACCCATAAAGGCCTGTAAGCCCGACCGCCTTTGTTTCCCCAGTGCCAATGTTTATAACATCGCACCAGGTACTCTTTTGAGGCTGAGTCGACCTAGGTGAGGCCCAGGAACAGTTCAGATATTCGTCACTGGTGTTTGTGGCTGTGAACGATAATCGAACTCGGGTAACCAGGTTCATAGCGCAGTGTGCTAACTGCTGCACCACCGCTCACTGACAGCCATGGACTTGCATAGAGACTATATATCAACAAAGGAACTCCATCAACAGACTCGGGAGAGATCTATGACGGTCTCTATAAATGCACATGCCCCACTGTTTCCGTGCGGCTGAGATGCTTGTTGCATGTTAGTTGTATTGCTATCTGTGCCTTGCCCTCGATAAAAAACCGGCTAAATTGATCAAACAGTTGCTCACAGCTTGAGGGTGACAATGCCCAGCGCGATACAAAAAAAACATCACTGACCCAGGCACTGACATTACACACCCAGTGCGTTCCTCGCCTCCCCGTGACATCTTGTTGAGTGGCTCAAAAACTTAACGTCGGCATCACTAATCAAAAGACTTCCGGGGGACGAGCGCGCATTTGGAAGTGCTATGGAATCCATGCAACGTGCTTAATTTCTCTTATCCACCTCTATATATCTCCCCATCTCTCTATCGGAATCAGCTTAAGCCTCCCATACATTACGTGACTTGTGTAGCCATCCCCCACTCCCTTCCCGCTGTGAAAACAGACGCCGTTCCTGTGCAGCAGCGTTGAGGCCCTTATGTAGCCTCTCCCTATCATGACCTCTCTGCTCCCGTTTCTCTGCTCCTTTGCAATCCTTTTCCCTCTTCCCTCTCCCGTTACTTTCTCTTTTCCATGTGTTCACATCCCTGACTCCTCCCTTTCCCATGCTGTGGCCACGGGTACAAAGTTACGCCGAATTGGGACTCGTTGAGCCAGGACCGGCATCGCTGAAATTATAGCAACGACCGCCGTCACGTTGGCATCGTGTTCAGTGGAGGACGGCGCGGGGAAGTCCATCGCTGTACTGCATTACGCTCCCACATTACGCTCCACTGCCCTGCGCAAGTCCCGTTCGAAGTCCTGTTGAAGTAGGGACTTTGCCACCACGCGGAGCGCGGAGCCAGAGTGCCGGCGCGAGCTACGCCGAGGGGGCCCCCGTCACGTCCCTGCAGGGCTCCACCGGCGCCGTGGCGCCGCCAGCGTCCGTCGGTTCATGGGGGGCAGTGGGGAAATCTGGGGGGCTGTTGCTCACGCTCACGGACGCCGGCTGCAGCACGGAGCTGCGCTGCGGGGGGCTGCGAGACAACACAAGACACGCGACAACGAGCGACGTTGGTCGTTGAGGGTTAACAGCGCAGTAGCAGCACTCGTGGCACACAGCAAGAAGGGCCTGGGTTCAATTTCCGATTCAGACACCTTTCAGTGTGTAAGTGGTCTGTATGTTATCCACCTGTTCTGTAGAACGAGAGTGAATGAGTGTAAGCGAGTGTGTTGTGGAGTTTGTAGGTTCTACAAAGGCGGCCTGGTGTGGTGTTGGCCACCCACCTCGTGTGCCGTTTCGGCCTTCATAGGTGCTCGCTAACAGCACTTGCCCCAACAGTCTGCTAAGGCTTTTTGGTGGATCTTTGTCTTTGGAGTTTGTAAGTTCTGCCCCTGTTCTGCATGGTTTTCCTTCGTGTTCTCCAGTTTCCTCCAAGACTAAAAACAAGCACGTAACGTAATTGGTATTGGCCACACATCCCAATGCTGAATAATTAGCTGCAAATAATTCAAAAGAGTTTAAGCTGTGTGAGGATTTACTGGGTAAACAGCACAATAATATAATAACCCATCAACACCATCATCAGCCATGACTGCGAGAGATGGCCATCACCAAGTTGTTGCCATCTCTCACAGTCCTGTAGCAATCCATCTGGTTCTGGCACACGAACCGAATTTACCACTCTGTCTCCGCAGTGGACGTCCTCTGGGGCGCAATTCCCTCCTCTAGGCGCTGCTCCATCGTTAGTCTCAACAAGCAGCCATCGTCCCTTTCGACCGTGACACGTGCTGCCCAGGCCCACTCGCTCTTCTTAGCGGTCAACGTGAATTACATTAAAATAGATCATCAGGTGGTGATGCTGCTGCCGTGTTGGCAGTGGTGCACAATTGGAATGCTCTTCCTTACGATATTCGGAAGCCACTGGGAGCTATGGCACTTTTAAATCATCTACATTGAAAACTCATTTCTTGGAAATAGCTTTTTGTGTTTAGTTTGTTGTCCTTCCCCCACACCTTCGAATAGCACGGTTGGCTACGTACAGTGCGAAAGACGTTCAACATACACATGTAGAACAAAAAACTCAACACATTAGCCAATAACACTGCGTGGCCTTAAAAGAAAAATAGAAAATCGGCGATGTTCCTTCTTCAGAGTACACAGGGAGATGGTCTGAATTGCTCAAAACGTCACCTCTATTGTGAACTCGTTTTTAAGGCAGTGCTTTTAGAGAATGCGTTGCCTTCTTTAGACCAACAGTTAGTGGGTTTGGGCAGCAAAAGCTGCTGCGCGAAAAAGGAGGATGGCCAATAGTGGACGTCAGCGATTAAACCGACGCAAACTGGGATGGGCAGGAGAGACAACAGCAAGGGATGGCACTGGACCGGCCCACACACAGAGGATGTTGGCCTAGAACGAGGGGGTTGGTCTGGCGTTCCATGCCGGACTTCAAGAGGCAGAACCGAGCGCACAACTGTACGGACACCCAAAGGCCTCTGCTGCGGCTGCACTCCAACGGGGTCGACGGGGCGGTGATGCTGCCCAGCGTCTGCCGCTGCTGTGCAGATTTGTGGTTTGAGCCCGGAGGCCGCCCTGGTTAATACCCTGATGGTGTGTGCATTAATCATGAAGTACCGCGCACCGTCTGCTTCACGGCGGACGTTACAGAGACCGTGACATCATTATAAATAGACCAGTAAGGCCATGTTTGCCGAGGTCACGTTCCAAATAGAAAAATCGCACAAGTTACTGAAATGTGAAAAACCAAATAGCCGCATTGTACCCATACTAGCAGAATATACTCGTCTGTGATCTCCTTTGTTATATGGCACAAATACCCACAGTACAAATATATTATGATTAAAATGACAGGAAGACAGAAGACGACTCATAACCAGGCTTTGCACACAGTCTGTAATCCAGCGCTCTAGCGGCTAGCAGCAAGGGTTGGTGGATCACACCAATGTTGTGAAACTCCCTGCCATGGGCAGTCATATTAGAAAGTGTCTCCCCCCTCTCCCCCGTTGTGTGACTTTTCTCTGGGTTCTCACAAATGTATAAAGCACTCATTAATTGGCTGAAAAACATCTAAATATATAGAGAGGACCGCAGAGCTTGGGCAATTGTTAGTAGTGCCAGCTCCTCGCCACCTTGCTGCTGCCTTTCAGCTCTTGTGTGGTTCCTCAGCTGTCGTGAGATGCAATTTGCATGAACGACGTTGCTGCTATATGAAACTAAAAAGAGTGCAGTCGGTCCCTGCCTGCACTGCATCTCTCTCCCCGTGGTAACGTGGATTTTTTCTCCTGGTCCTCCAGTTTATCCCTCCACATTTATAAACATACTTTTGTGATTATTTACATAATTTTGCTGCTATGAATGTCCAAATGATAAGCCACTTGGCTCCTTCCCCCACCTTAACCTGTATTTAAGCTCGAGGTTCTCAGAGCCTCCCCACTTGATGCAGCGATCTTGCTGTGACTGTTCCACCTGAAGACGGAAGCTTGTGTTGCCTCCGAAACGTCGTGATTTAATTGTTTTCTTTTATTTTATTTTACCTACGTGACTTTACCGAAAAAAAACAAAGAGTATAAGCCACTTTGTTCAGCTATCATTTGTGGCCAGGTCGCCTCTGAAAAATAAGTTAATACCTCAGTGGGCTTTTCCTGATAGGATGGGGATGGTTTAGTTTAATTTGTATGTGTTTGGGTGATGTTTACCTTTCTTGTACTTTACACAACTATCATGTGCTTGTATTGTGTGTTGTTTTAACGTTCTTACCCCATGCCCCTACTGGACATCTGTGAAAAATAGCTTTACAGCTCATGGGATTCCTCCAGTATAAATAAACATTCTGATTCTGATATAAATGCCGTAAATGTAGATCGTCTTAAATCGGAACGTTGTCAAGCGGAAACCGCCTGTATTGCTATTATTCCGCCGTCTTTTTCCGTCTGTCGATCATCACCTGGCCGACAGCGTAGAGTTGAGCTGCTCCTTCAAGTTGATGGCCTTTTGGAGGAGGCCCTCCACGCTGGAGAAACACAAGCTGCTACTCGCGATGCTGGACAGGGCGCTGGGGGGGGAAGGCGAGGGAGACAAAGACAAATACAAAGGTTGCCCCCCCTTCCTCCCCGGGTGTAACCTTTCACAGATTGTTGCACTTAGATTTTAATGTTTGCTGTTAATGTTTTTTTTTTATCCCAAATCTCTATTGGTCTCATTGGACACTGATAATTTAAAACCCTTTGTCAATCCACTGGCTGGATGAAAGCCGCTCCACACCTTTCAGTGTTGGTGGTGGCGGTGGTGGTAGCGGTGGTGTTGGCAGTAGTGGTGTTGGTGCTGTTGATGGCAGTCGTGGTGGTGGTTGTGGTGCTGGTCGTGGTGTTGGCAGTGATAGTCGTGGTGGTAGCGGCGTTGGTGGTGGTGGTGGTGGCGGTCGTGGTGGTGGTGATGGTGGTAGTGGTGGCAACAGCTTACCCACACGCGTACTCCACATCGTACACGATGCCGTTGCTCCTCTCCTCCACGTTCAGGAAGTTCGTCTGAGAGGTTATCAGAGTGAGAGTTGCGGGATCATTTTTCATGATACGATGTGAAAATGAATATTATTGCGATATTAGTTTCCATTCATTTGTAGTCATATTTGCCATTAGGTTTTTGTGCATTACTGCACATCTCGTATGACTACAGATTACGTAAGTTTTTCAACCACAGTTAAAGCAACATAAGTATTATATTACAACTGATTATGCACATGCTGTCAGTTACACAAAAATAATTAAACAATGCATGGAACTACAAAGATGATGGTGATATGTAACTGCCATGCCATAAATTACTCCAGAAAATATATATTCTTGGTTCTTTCGGTAAAGTCACGTAGAAGGGAAACAATAAAATAATAAAAATATAAAATATTAAAATTCTCACGACCTTTCCGACTGCAACACAAGCAATCATCAGGTGATCATCAGGTGATGATTGCTTGTGTTGCAGTCGAAACGTCGTGAGAATTTTAATGTTTTATATTTGTATTATTTTATTGTTTCCCTTCTACGTGACTTTACCGAAAGAACCAAGAATAAGAATCCCTGCAGCCACGAAAGCTTTAAATAAAAATTTACTCCAGAAAATGTTTTGCAAAGCACTAAACGGATATCAGCAGTCATTATGGGGTGAGGAGTGGATCTCAAGGAACCAATCCCTTGTGGACGACCCTCCGGGTTTGATCCCCAGCGAAGCGGCAAGGGCCTCCTCCTGCGTCCAGCAAGGACTGCTTGGGTGGTGAGGGATTACTATGTGGCAACGCGGCCTGTGGCCGTGGTGCGAGATGAACGATGATGACGCATGTCGCTGTGAAGACTGCCGCTAATCGAGCCGGGCGGCGGCGATGGGGATGCCTCCACCGTGCTCGCCAAGCGATGTAGCCACTGCCCAGCTCGGTGAGATCACACGCGCTAACCGGACGATAGTCGTTCCTCTCCAAATCTCATCAGCGAGTTTTGTTGTATAAGAAAAACAAGATGAGTCGCGATAACCACGATATGGCGAGAAAAACGGACGTAGGGATTATCGCGGCTCTGATACCCTTCGACGTATCGGAGCGTCACCACATCGCAGCGGCCCTGGTGCCCGCGCACGCACCTTGTGCTCGGCCAGTTCGGGCAGAGAGCGGAGGATGTGCTCCTGCACGCGGAACAGCCCCACAGAGGGCTCGTTGGCCAGCACCCACATACTGTCCGTCCAGCGCTCTGACACTACAAGGACAAAGATCCCCCGTATAGGATTAACAGACTGTTGGGGCAAGTGGTGTTAGCGAGCACCTATTAAGGCCGGCACGGTACACTCAGGGGTGGGTGTCCAGTGCCACGCCCGACCGCCTTTGGCTCCTCGGTGGTGATATTTACACATTGCTCCATGTACTCATTTGAGGCCGAGTGAACATAGGGGAGGCCCAGGACCAGTTCAGATATTCATCAGTGGTGGTGGCCGTGAGTGGGAATCAAAACTCGGGTCGCAGGGTTTGGAGTGCAGCGTGCTAACCGCTACACTACAGAGGTCGCGCACACACACAAACACATACTCTCAGGGTCACACGGGAAGAGAGGAGTTGGCCAGGTGGTTCAGATGTCAGGCGCTAAACTTGCACCACATGGTTTTGGGTGTGGCTGCACACACACAAAACTACCACGTCAAATTTGGTTCTGCACTAAATTTGGATAGATTCCAGCACCGAAAATTTAAATATCGGTTTGTCCATCAAACCGAGAGGTCCTGTCCACCATTCCTTCACCACAAGGGACATCAGAGGTGTATCGATTATAAACGAGGTTTTGGTGCCATCACAGATGTTCCTTGTGGTGTATCTACACGTAAAGTGGCGCCCTTCTGCATCTTTAACTTGCGCCAATAGTAACGATGCTCAGTTTCACATCGCGCCATTCATGCACAGCACGTGGAACATGAAGTGAAACCTCCTGCTTTAGCTTTTAGGGTGAGGCTTTAGGGAACTGAGGAGTTAGGTGCAGTTCAGGTATAAGGGGACGGGTGTCTAAGACAGGGGTCGGCAGGTAACCTGCGGCTCCGGAGCCGCATGCAGGCGGCTCTTTAGCTTCCCCCTTGCGGCTCTTTGGCTGCCCCCTTGCGGCTCTTTGGCTGCCCCCTTGCGGCTCTTTGGCTGCCCCCTTGCGGCTCTTTGGCTGCCCCCTTGCGGCTCTTTGGCTGCCCCCTTGCGACTCTTTGGCTTCCCCCTTGCGGCTCTTTGGCTGCCCCCTTGCGACTCTTTGGCTTCCCCCTTGCGGCTCTTTGGCTGCCCCCTTGCGGCTCTTTGGCTGCCCCCTTGCGGCTCTTTGGCTACCCCCTTGCGGCTCTTTGGCTGCCCCCTTGCGGCTCTTTGGCTTCCCCCTGGCGGCTCTTTGGATGCCCCCTTGCGGCTCTTTGGTTGCCCCCTTGCGACTCTTTGGCTGCCCCCTCGCGACTCTTTGGCTACCCCCTTGCGGCTCTTTGGCTTCCCCTTGGCGGCTCTTTAGCTGCCCCCTTGCGGCTCTTTGGCTGCCCCCTTGCGGCTCTTTGGCTGCCCCCTTGCGGCTCTCTGGCTACCCCCTGGCGGCTCTTTGGCTTCCCCCTGGCGGCTCTTTGGATGCCCCCTTGCGGCTCTTTGGCTGCCCCCTTGTGGCTCTTTAGCTGCCCCCTTGCGGCTCTTTGGCTGCCCCCTTGCGGCTCTTTGGCTGCCCCTTTGCGGCTCTCTGGCTACCCCCTTGCGGCTCTTTGGCTGCCCCATTGCGACTCTTTGGCTGCTCCCTCGCGGCTCTTAAACATAATTTAACGTAAAGATAATAAACAATTCATTAAACATGATAGGGAATGCGGCCACAATGAAATGTCTTTGTGACAATAACATGTACAGCAGTCGCACTGCATTGTTAAAGAATACATAGGAGAGACAAAAAAAAACTAAACAGACGCAGTTATTCTATCACCTATTTTGTTTACTTAAATCAGAACGTGTTGTTGTTGTTGTCTTGCTATATACCTGCTGTGTTTGTGTGTACAAGTGGCTCTGCGCGCCATGCCACTCTAAAACTATTTTGGTCCGAGACAAACAAAATGGCTCTTATATTATTGGTTCTTTCGGTAAAGTCACGTAGAAGGGAATTTTATTGTTTTATATATTTATTATTTTACGTGACTTTACCGAAAGAACTAATAATATGAATCCCTGCAGTTACGAAAGCTTTAAATAAATAAAATGGCTCTTCTTCTTTGAAATGTTGCCGACCCCCCGTGCTCTTAGACGAACACTGCGCTACCTCCACACAACAGTCTCGGCAATTTACGTTAATGAGCGCTCTCCTGGTCTTGCCGGCCCTGTGTGAGCGACGGGGGGCGGATGTGTTGTTGATTGCCTGACATTGACGAGATGTTAACTTCCTCGCCTGCTATGCAGGAGGTCGTGGGTTCAATTCCGACCCTGAGACGCCTGCTGGACATTTGGAGTTTGCGTGTCTCTTTCCCCGTGGTCGCGTGGATTCTTCTCCGGGTCTTTTCCTTCCAAATGTAGAGTATTTTGCTGCTATAAATGTCCACATGATGATACGCCCACTTTATTTATCATGTGGCCAGGTCGCTTCTGATAAAGAGCTACGTAGCTCAGTGGACCTTACCTGGTAGAATTAAATCCAGTTCTTATGCGCGAATCGCACACCCACCGTGTGAGAAAGAGACAGCCCTTGCCTCACCAGGTGAGGCGTTCAGTCACTCACCTCTCCTCACCTTGAGCTGCAGCTCCTGCTCGTCCATCTCGGAGCTCGTGGCGAGAATAGCGCCCGGGTCTGCACGAAACCACAGCCTCGTCATGCCATCGCCACCGGTCACGATTCATACACTGCTGGATGAAAGTCTCCCCCCTAACCGTCGCGATCCCTCACGATCGCGCGATGTAACAATCCACGCGAGCCGCGCTTTCGACGTTCCGTCTCCATGGTGAAGTTCAGTTTTAACTCCTTAAACTAATTCCTTCCCGCTGAGCCCGCATCACACAAATCGATCATTAGTGACAGACAAGAGGCGTTAAGATTAAAACCACCGCAGTGAGCATCGCCGTGATTATTTGATGCGAACGCGGACAATTCGAGTTTGATAAAAAGGTTGTGCGGTACAAGTCATTGCTCAAAGTTAGACGCCAGACCAACCCGGGCCAACCCGGGAGAGGCGGCATATCCCCGGCAGTCCGCCTAGGTGAGACCGTAGGCTTCGCGGCCTACCCGCGGTGTGGCGGCTTCAGGGTGTCTCTCTGGCCACGGGAGACGGCTGCTCCTGGCCAAAGAGAGGCGAGGGGCTGGGGACGTCCCCCGGAGGAGACGGAGTTGTCCTGACGGGGAGGCCGGCTCGTGAAGGAAGTGGTGAGGAACTTTCGTGAGGAGTTGGGGAAAGTTGCGGTGCGGGCCCTGGGGGAGGAGGGCGCCTCACCCTGGCGAGGCGTGCGCGCAGCGAGAACCCCGTCGCGAACGCCGCTCGCTGGCCGAGGGGGTCCCCGTCCCTGAGAGGGGTCCGTGAGAGGGGTCGCTGAGAGGGGGTCCCCATCCGTGAGAGGGGTCCGTGAGAGGGGTCCCCGTCCCTGAGGGGGGTCCCTGAGAGGGGTCGCTGAGAGGGGGTCCCCGTCCCTGAGGGGGGTCCGTGAGAGGGGTCGCTGAGAGGGGGGTCCCCATCCGTGAGGGGGGTCCGTGAGAGGGGTCCCCGTCCCTGAGAAGGGGTCCCTGAGAGGGGGTCCCCATCCGTGAGGGGGGTCCCGGTCCATGAGAGGGATCCCCGTCCGCGGGAAGCAGTTCCCGGCTACTCTCTCACGGCCACCAACACCAGTGACGATTATTTGAACCGGTCCTGGGCCTCCTCTAGGTCGACTCAGCCTCAAACGAGTAACTGGTGTGGTGAATCCAAGTCCCGGGCGAAGCCGAGTAGTAAAGCTAGTTATAATAAATATTCAAATATGCTCAAAATGTCCACCCCCCCAATATATTGCTATAAAATAGATTTCTGTTTATATGATTGTGGTCATGGTTGTGCTTTATTAATCCCTAATCTCTGCCATTACATACAATGAAACAGGAAAAGGTAAGAAAGAGAAAACAGAGCAATGTAACACGATACACTATTAGACATTGTAAAAAATAAATAAAAAGTCCATCCTATGTGTTAGTGCATTTTTTTTTTATTTTAGGCAGGAAATGGCACGAAATTCGTTTTCAAATGTAGATTTATTTTTTGTTTCTGGGGCGGGACCTCCAGACCCCCTGGAAGATTTGGTCCCCCCCAATGTTGACTCCATGACTACGGCCTTGGTTAGATCGCGTACATATCTAAATGTGTCGTTAAAACCGGCCACCACCCGACACAGCCAACTCGTAAGGGTTGTCACGTAAAGAGAACATGCGTCACTGGTAAGTTTTGTTTACATGACAACCATTACTAGTTGACTGTGTTGGGTGGTGGCGGGTTTTAACGACACATTTATATATTTACGCGATCTAACCCCAAGAAACTCTGATAGATATTGGTCGATAAATCCTATGTGTTAAACTGGCTATGAGATGTTTACTACCTCGCCTGGTATACAGGAGGTCGTGAGTTCGATCCCGATCCTGACGCCTGCTGCTGCTGTATATTTGTAGTCTCTCCGTGGTCGCGTTTCGTGTTTGCCTGCTATATATTTCCAAATGACAAGCCACTTCGTCGAGCTATCAAGTGAGGCCATGTCGCCTCTGAAAAAGAGCTACATAGCTCAGTGAGCGTTACCTGGTAAAATAAAAAAAATGTTTTAGGTTGATGGGTCGTGTAGTGATAGGGTGCCACGTGGCGTTCTGGGTCGTCACCGCCAGCTTCTCGTCCGAATCTCGGCTTCAAAACAGAAACAATGCTTTAAAAAATGTGCCGACACAGCTTCTTGGAGAAGGACCCCGCTGAGGGTAGACACAAATTATCACCACCACTACCATCATCATCACCATCACCACCATGATCAATCTCTCGCTCTCTTCCTCTCCATCCCTTTACCTCCCTCCGCCTCATCCCTCCCACACACACCAAAGACCAAAAAACCCATGTCGCCCACAGACTATCGGTGCAAGTGCCGTTAGCGAGTGGCGATCAGGGTCCGACACGTGACAAAAAGGGCACTTTGAGGCAAGGACAGCGCGCCCGGCACAGACCAGACACAGCAGGCACGACCAGACACAGCAGGCACGACCAGAGACAGCAGGCACGACCAGACACAGCAGGCACGACCAGAGACAGCAGGCACGACCAGACACAGCAGGCATGACCAGACACAGCAGGCACGACCAGACACAGCAGGCACAGCAAACCCACCAGACACTACGCACAACCAGGCACACTATACACTCGGCACAATCAGGCACACCAAGCACAGCCAACACACCAGACACAGCAGGCACAACCAGACATAGTAGGCACACCAGACACATCAGGCACAACCAAACACAGCAGGCACACCGGGCACTAGGCAAAAGCAGACACAGCAGGCACAATAAGACACAGCAGGAACACCAGACACTAGGCAAAGGCAGACTCAGCAGGCACAATAAGACACAGCAGGAACACCAGACACTAGGCACAACCAGACACAGCAGGCACACCAGACACTAGGCAAAGGCAGACACAGCAGGCACAACCAGTCAGAGCAAACACACCAGACACTACGCACAACCAGGCACACTAGACACACTACACACAACCAGACACAAGGCACAACCAGACACAAGGCACAACCAGACACAAGGCACAACCAGACACAGCAGGCACACCGGACACTAGGCAAAGACAGACACAGGCACAACAAGACACAGCAAGCACACCAGACACTACGCACAACCAGACACAGCAGGCACACCGGACACTAGGCAAAGCCAGACACAGCAGGCACACCAGGCACAGCAAACACACCAGACACTACGCACAACCAGGCACACCAGGGACAGCAAACACAGCAGACACACTAGACACAACCAGCCACATTAGACACACTAGGCATCCCAGGCATAGCAGACACACAAGACACTGCAGGCAAATTAGACACATCAAGCACACCAGACACATCAAACACTACGTACAACCAGGCACAACCAGGCACACCAGGCACAGCAAACACAGCAGACACACTAGACACAACCAGACACACTCGACACACTAGGCACACCAGGCACAGCAAACACACCAGACACTACACACAACCAGACACCCCAGATACACCAGACACACTAGACACACCAGGCACAGCAGGCATACCAGGCACAAACGGGCACCTCAGACACGAGGCACAAGCAGCTGCACCAGGCAAAACCCAGGCACACCAGGTACAGCAGGCACAACCAGGCACAGCAGGCACAGTAGACATACCGGACACACCAGACACTCGAGGCACAACAGACACACCAAGCACGACACCGCGCCCTGTATCCGCCCTCTCTCTCTGGGCCATGACGCAAACCCTCATGCACGCGTTTACTCACCCACCCACTTATCCACTCACCCGTTCACCACTTTCTCACTCACCCACTTATCTACTCACCTACCCGCACGAAACAATACCCGCTATTCACCCCTAAGTGGTGATGGCATCACCATGGCGCGTGTACCATGCTCGGTGCACTTTGAGGCCACGTCAAGTGCCAAAGGCCCGCCGACAGGAGGTCACAGAACAGACCCAAGTGCCATGGGTTTACTGACTGAAATGGCTGGCCGATGCACCACCTGGGCCCCTACTGTGCCAACTTGCTCTGTTTTAGCCGCCCGGCGCTCTGCTCGTTGTTGTGAGCATCGCTCCTCTGCCCTCCGTTTTTGCTAGAGGGCGACTGCCTCCGATTCCCCAGCAGCGTACTTCACGAACCTCCTCCACCTCTACAGAGGACGATCTTGACACCGTTAGTACCAGTCTTCGGTAATTCCAATCACCTCCACATCCCGCTGTACCACATGAGTCCATGTCTTCTCTAGCCCATGCTGCGCGTGTTTAGCCCCATCTATCTGGTCAAACAGAAGCTGTTTGGGCATGCGATGGCTGGGTATGCGGGCTACATGACCCAGCCAGCACAGGCTCGCTTGCTGGAGGAGCTCGCTGATGGGACTGTGTCCAGATATTTCAAGGATCTGTGAATTCCTCATACAATCAGTCTGGTTTAACCCAGGGTGGATCATAGTAGAGGGTTCCACGTTTCACAAGCATAGAGAATGGAGGGCATAACCGTGGCCGAGAAGACCCAGAGCTTTGTATGGAGCGACAGGCCAGGTAGCTTCCACAAAGCGTTACGCAGCTGATGAAAAGATAATGCCGCTCGACTGATTCGGAGTGAGACCTCAGCTGCCAAACTGGAGCTGGTCATAAGCACACTGCCCAAGTACGGAAACTTCTCCACTCCACAACCGCATCATAACTCATGGGGAGTTGAGGGAGGGGAGCATTTGATGACATTAAATACCCAGGCAAGTGCTTAGTTTTATGGGGCAGATGGTAAGGCCCCCATCTCTTAGTGCTATGCTCCAGGTTCAGCAGTAGTATCTCAAACTCCTCCTCAGAGTGGGCAGCAATCACCAGATCATCCGCATACATAACATGGTTGACCAATCGGGAGCCATCCCTTGAACGCACCCGGGCATCAATCAGCCTCCCATGGTATCTATACCAAATGGTAATTCCACTGGTACATCCATGTTCAGCTTCTCGAACTACATGTTCAAAGATGATTTTAAATAGTGTTGGGGCCTGAGGACACTCCTGTCACACCTCAAGGTGAACAGAAAATGTCTTACGCGGGCCTGCCCACCATCATGAAGGTCCTTAATGATTGTGAGCAGAGAGTCAGGGACTCCAAAAGCACGAAGAATAACTCAGAGCGCTGGTCTGTTGATGGTATCATAGGTTTTGACCAGAGAATAAAGCAGAGATGTAAGTCATGTTGATATTCCCCACACCTCTGCTGTAGTATATGGATAGAGAAAAGTGTTCCTGCAGGACCACTCAGTCTGAAACATAATTTAAGCTTCGCAAGCTTCTCCTCAGCATGTCTAGCAAGACAATGTTGAATAAGTCTTGCCACTGAGGAGGGAGACACCCCAGTAATTGTTGCAATCAGGGTGATCCCCCCTCCTCCTTTTTTAAAGGGAGACCACTAGGGCATCCTATCCTGCAGAACCCCTCCTGTGGTCCAGACAGTTAAGATTAGACAGTCGTCATATAGGGCAGTTTGCACACAAACGCCACTCTCCCTCAGCAGTTCACTTGGGAGGCCATTCCTGCCCAGTGCTGTATCTGGTCTCAAGACTCTGGATCGCCTTTTGTCCTTCCTCAACAGGTGACACCTCATTATACTTCTGCCAATATTTGAGGCACTGCAGCCCCTGCAAGATCATATTCACTTTGCCCCATGAT